CAGCGGAGCCGTCAGACCCCAGTGATGTCCGTGAGCACAGTGACATGAGACCCATGCCAGTGTGGCCTGCCCTCCGAGAAACTGTAAAGAGGAAGGGGAAATGCACGTCCATCCACGCAGAGGCTGGTGCATGAGCGTCCAAGTCCCATTATCTGCTGTCGCCCAGAAAGTGGAGATCACCAGTCCAGCCCCTGACAAGTGAGCGCAAAGAGGAGTGGGATCTGGCCACGCACCGCAGTATTCATCAGCCATGGAAGAGGTGACGCCATGCCACGTGCCACGTGCCACGTGCCACGTGGGGGAAGCCCCCAAGCATGCTGAGGCAGAGCCGTGGTCACAAGGTCATGTGCCGCAGCACCCAGTGATAGGAAATGTCTGAAACGGTCAAATCCAGAGGCAGAGGGCAGATCAAGGTTACCTGAGGCCAGAGGAAAGAGTCCATCGGGGTGGGCTCTGCGGCTGCTGAAAATGCTCTGTGGTTGATGGCAGTGAGGGCTGAAAGCTCTGGCGACGCCCTAGTCAGGCACGGTGGTGTGTGCCTGTAAATTCAGGGCTCAGCAGGATGAACAGGAGGGAGCCTGCAAGTTCAAGGCAAGTTTGGGCTGTGTTCAAAGCCATCCCAAACTGTGTAATGTGAGACTCTGTCTCAAAAACAAGAGAAAATCCTGAAAGTACTGAAAGCCGCCATTGGTCTGTGAAGTACAGGTCAGTGCGGGTAATAAATGAATAAAGAAATAGTGACGGGCCCAAGTGTGGTGCCACCTGCCGTACTTCCAGTACTTGGAAGGCCGAGGCAGGAAATTACACAGCTGAGATCCTGTCTCGAAACAAAACATAAATCAGGCATGGTAGTACATGCCTGAAGAAAAATTTTTAAGAGAGAAAAGGAGATCACCAGTAATGCTCCAGAGTGAGCCTGGTTCCCATGGTCACCAGTTGCTGAAGCCTGCAGGGCAGAGACCCTGGCAGCGCCATGAGGAGCACGTGACCAAGTGTCTCAGGCTGTGGGGGCCCTATGGGTCTGCTGCTCTACACCCGCCCAGCCTGCTGTGTCACACTTGCATGCAGGTGGGGACACTGGTGACAAAGGTGAGCGCTGTTTCCCTCAGCTAGCCCTCAGGATATGGAGTCTAACACAATCCCTCTGCCCCAAGCGCCCTCTTGTCACCCAGGGGCCCAGACCTACTTGACAAGGGTGGCTAAAGTGCCATCTGCTCCTGCCACGAGGTGAGGTCAACACCACCCCACAAGGGTGGGGGTGGGGCTATGCCCTTGGGCTCCAGCTGGATGGGGTGCAGCAGGTATGGACCACGCCCAGTGGGAAGGGGCGGAGGCAGCCAAGGCCTCCCCTCCGGCAAGTGGGGATTCTGGAGAGATGAACACTGATGGGAGTGAGGGTGGTGGGAAGATGGGGCTTCTGCCCATTGAACTCGGAGGACTGACATCCTCCTGACAAGTGGGCTGACGTCTTGGCAAGGGCTTGGTTTTAGTGGGGACCAACAATGCATGAGGCGGGACCAGGGTGTGGACAAGGGTGAGCGCTGGCCTGGCACTGTGAGGCCCCAGATTTGATCCCCAGCACCATCAAAAACTGAATGGTGAGTTCGATCCCCAGTACAAAACAAAACAAAACAAAACAGAAAACAAGAAATCCCACAGTTGCTGGGCATGGGGACCCCGGACTCCCCTATGCATTCTTCCTCCACTTCCTGTTGGGCTGCCCTCAAGTGAACAAGTGAGGTGTCAGTCACCTTGTTAGGTAAACTCATTGTTAAACTTCTTGTCATTGGTCCCAAAAAAAAGCTTGTCCTTGCCAAGGACCAGGGTCATGGTTGCTGGCCTTAGGGCATACCCATTGCAGCCAGGGTTCCGGGGACACTTTGTGTCACCTGCATCATAGATGAGCAGGCTGTGTGCCAGGAGGTCATGTCCCTACGGCTCTAAGTGTGGGGCACTAGAGCCCTGACATTCGTGAGCATCGCTCGTCATCAGTGGGTGTCACCAATAGGACTGTCCCCAGCACTCTGCCACCCTGATCCTCGAATACATCCTGGGTGGCCCTATCATCCAGGTCACAGGATGGTGTCATTCATTTAAAGTGGGAATTACAAGGATTGAGTGGGGATTGGTAAATCCGATTTACAAATTCCTTTCTCCTCTGAACTCCACTGGGCCTGAACTGGACTCCTTCCTGGCGAGCCAGACTAAGAAAGTCCCCACCCAGCACCGCTGTGGTCCTTCCTCAGACTGTGATAGGTGAGACCCAGCCCTGTTCACACAGCATGGCACCTGGCTGGCCCCTGGAGGGCAGAGGAGGAGCCGGCCTCTTGGACTGAAGGGAAGGAGCAGATCCCTGCCAGATTACAGGGTCCTGTAATGCTGAAACTCCATTCCGCCCCCCCCCACGCCCCCCGCCACTGAGGCGTCCCTGCCTATGGAAGGGCAGGGGTCAGCTCAGCATTACCCATGTCCCCCACACAGTGGCCAAATGTAACAGTGCCCAAGTGCTTAGGAAGCCGGCGATCTGCTCCCAGGAGTGAGCAGCCATAGTCCCAGCCTCTCAGGGAGGAGGTGCAGGGCCTGGGGCTGTTAGAGGAAGGGCCCACTCTGAACGTACAAGGAGCTGGTCAGTCCTCAGCCCGAGAAGCCCCAAGGATGAACAAATGGGATCATACCAAATTAAAAAGCTTCTGACAGCAAAGCGAATCACCAACAAAGTGAAGAGACGACCTGCAGCGTGGGAAAAGACACCGCGGCTGTCCCCAGCAGGGGACTGCTATCTAGACTATGTGAAGAACTCAAAGATTAGATGCCTCAGAATAAAAGACCTGAGGAAAAGTGGGCAAATGAAATGAATGGACGCTTCCCAGAAGAAGTACAAACAGCCAATAAATACATGAGAAAATGTCCAGAATCTCTCACCACTGGAGAAATTAAAACAATGCTGAAATTCCACCTCACTCCAGAAAGAATGGCCCCCATCAAGAAATCCAATAACAAATGCTGGCGAGGCTGCAGGGAAAAGGACTCCATCCACACTGTTGGTGGGAGTGTAACCTGGTGCAACCATTGTGGGGATCAGTGTGGAGAGTCCTCAGAAACTGAAACTAGAAATTCCATTTAATCCAGTGATTGCCCTTCCAGGTGTCTTCCCAAAACAGTTAACGACGGCATATACAGTGATGCGCCACACCTGTGTTTATAGCAGCCTGTCTGTCCATCCACAGATGAATGAGCGAAGAAAATGTGGTCTTCGTACACGGTGGAGTGCTAGTCAGCCATAAAGAAGGGCATCTTGAGTCTTCTGTAGGAAAATGGAAGCAGCTTGAGACTATAGTGGTGAGTGAAATAAATCAGACGCACAAGCTTCACCATCACATGGCTTCTCGTGTGTGGGAAACCCAAAGAACAAATAAAGAGCCAAACAAAAGATAATGGGAAGTAGGGAGATAGAGTCCCTCCAATGAGAAAGGGATCCAGAGATGCAGGGAAGGGGAGGGATAGGAAAGGAGTGGAGATGTGTCAGGCACGGCGCACAAGGGATGTGATCACTGCGTGCTGCAAACATGCACTAATAAAAAGTAAACATTGAAGAAGGGAAGAGATGGGTTCTGGGTGGGGGTGCAGGGCTGTGGTTCCTGGGCTGGGTCACTCATGGGTCCACAACTGCTGCTTACACAGGACAAGGCTTCCCGCGTCCCGGTCCCAGAAAAGTCAGGTGGCGGCTCTGCCGGTTTCGGCTGGGTCTCGTGCTGTGGTGGTGGTGGTGGTGGTGGGGCCCTCGGGAGCCAGTACCATGGGGACTGAGCCTGGCTGACTGCTGTCACTGCGGTAGGGACCCTTACTGCGGTGGGGAGCCCTTCCACCGTGGCAGCATGGAGGATGTTTGGTTTTAATCTTTGGGCACCTTCTTACTTTTTTCTTTTTAATTTTGAGGTTTTTGCTAAGTTCTCCTGTCTCAGCCTCCCAGATGCTGGGATGATAGGAGTTTGACACACATCCCATGACAGTCTTTATTTTATAGGGAGAACTAAAGGACAAGGCCATCCACTATAAAACTGCTAGCAGAGGGCCTGGGAGCAGCTCGATGGTAGAACACTTGCCTAGCACCTGTGAGTCCAGGGTTTGACCCCTGACACCGAGTAAATGAATCACAGCCAACAGATAGGCACCTAGGGGTGATAGAAGTTTGGGATGCCAGGTGACCTTCCTAACCTGAGTTGACCATTTCACAACATGTGTACAGAGGATCCTGGCAGTATGTATAAGTTTCATCTCAATTTTTTAGAAGAACCAGGGAAAGGGAGAGATAAGCGATCGCTCTTGCCCTGGAAGCTGCCTTTTGAGAGCCTCCTATGGTGCTCTTAAGGCACCACCTTGTCCTGTGTTGCTTATTTTCCATTTTTCTAATAGTTTTCTGGTTCTCAATCTTGGCAGCACTGTTGAACTAAATCCGTGGGATGTGTGTGTGTGGGGGGGTGCGAGTAATGGGATTTGAACCAGGGCTGTCACACTAAGCTATGTCCCCAGCCCTTTTTTATCTTTTGAGATAGTCTTGCTAAGTCCTGGCATTGCAGGTGTGCACCACTGCCCCAGCACAGTGAGACTTTTTAAAACTACCCTGTGGAGCGCACGCCCCATCAGTCAGACAAGGTGGCAGAGTCCCAGGCTGTTCCTGGGCCTCCCAAGAGCTCCTAACCTGGTCTCCACAGTCGGACAAGTGGGCAGCTGTCAGGAAGAGTCGCAGGGCTAGAGGAAGAGGTGACAGGAGCTGGTTCTTCTCCACCCCTGGTTCAGGGAGGAGGGGTCTCTGCCCCCACCTTGCAGGGTCACCTGTGGGGAACAGTGCTCCTCCGGGGGAGCCCCCTTTGCCTTCTCTAGAAGCTGGAGAAACTTCAGCAGCAGCAGGGTTGGGGTGTAGCTTAGGGGAGGGTGCACGCCTGACACGCGCAAGGACCCGGGTTCCACGTCAGCACCGCAGAAAGGAGGGATGTGGAGAACCTGCAGGCTGACACCGACAGGCCCACCGCAGCTGGCCCTGACCTCCTACCCAAGAGCAGCCCGGGAGCCCCGCCCCTGCTCAGAGACCTCCTAGCAACATGGGTCCGTTTAAAAAGAGAACGCTTTCTCTTTGGCTGCTGGCTGCACTCCATCTGGGTTTGGTTGGAAGGTAGCTTTCTCCGAGTACTGCTGAGGATGAACGGGACTCTTACACTTACTCTTTCGTGGGTGGATTCTTAGTCATCCTGCTACTTCTCTGTGAGTTGTCTGTTCCTAATCTACTAATTCACAAGGGCACGTGTGGCTGCCAAGGGGACCGGCGCTGTGTCCCCGCGCACACATGGCTCCCTTGGGCTGCGCTGCTGCCACCCAACGTCAGATTGGAATCAGGGCGAGGCAGGGCGTGGCGGGGCATATCCGGGCTGGGGCTCCTGGTCCCCGGCTTCCCCTGCCTCTGTATCTGCCCCTCCTTTCCCTAGCATGCATTTCCCCCTTGGGGACCCGGCCACACTGTCATCTGCATCCCTGCCCTTGGCCTTGTGCTTCTTCCTGGCTCCTCTGCTTGAGCCCCAGTGCCACCTCCTGCTGCACAGCTAGGAGTCCGCTTGGGACAAGGTGGCTGTGGAGGGGGTCCTGCCACACCAGGAAGGCCCTGTCAGGGCGATGGCTCCAGGCTCCTGAGGGCTCGGCCCCACCTCAGCTCTCGGTGCTCTGACTGCCTCAAGGCTGGCAGTCCTGGAGACAGTCTGCAAAGGCGGATCACAACCTCGGAGCCGAGTTCCAGGAGCAGAGTGGGGGTTGGGGCATCTGGGGACGGGGGGGGGGGGGGGGGGCTCCGAGGTGGGTCCAGGAGCAGGGGCAGAAGCGTCAGGGTGGCAGGTTAGCACACTTGACTCCTCCTGCTTCTGTCCTAGGCCTCCAGCAGGGTCTTCTGGACCCCCTTCAGCCCTACCTGGTGTCCCCTCACCCTCAGGATAGGACCTGAATTCCCAAGAACACCACTTAGCTCCTACTGTTCTTGGCTGGTTTTGTTTTCCTCCATCCTCGCCTCTCCATGTCCATCTCTCTCCAGACAGGGTCTTCCTGTGTTATGCAAGCTGGCCTTGAACTCTTGGACTCAAGCTAACCTCCCGCCTCAGCCTCCCAAGTGCTGGGACTCAAGGTACAGACCACCACTCCTGGCTCCTGCCTGGTGGCCCTGAACTGACTGTGTGTCCCCAGTCCCCTCATCCTAGAAGGGCCCCTGAATTGGCCAACACCTCTGCACTGGCTCCGACATCTGCTAAGTGGGCTTTTCAGAGCCTCAGAACAGCCTTCTATGTGAGTGTCTCTTCCACAGCATCCCCCCTGCTAGGCCAGCAGAGCCTTTGTGGCCTGGACGACCTCAGCTCTCCCTGACGCACAGCCTCATGCTGGCCAGAAGCCCAGTGGGCAGGGGCTCCCTGGCCTCCCAGGCCTGGCATACAGATCCCAGCTCCCGCAACCTCTGTGTCCGGGGAAGGGTGGCATCGCAATGCCACGCTGCAGCAGTGACCTGGGCCCTTAGCCCAAGCCTGGGTGCCCAGGCCTGGGTAGCAACGTGACGCCCACACGGATAAGTATTTACATTAGAACAGAAACAGAAATGCAGGGGCCCCAAAGCTAACAGAGGTCTCACTCTGGGACCACACTCCTGAGAGGGAGAACTTTAAGGGAGTTCATGCCAGGAATTGTCACACTGGTGGAACCACAAGTGAAATCCACAGCGTTGTCACCTTGGGCTCTTATCCAGCTGTGTGACCTTTAGCGAGTCACTTTACCTCTCTGGGCCTCGAAAATGGGAGGTTGTCTACATTGCTCAGTGAGTTGTTATGAAGACCTTTTCCTTTCAGGATGCTGTGTGGAAAGGGACGTTGCACAAGGAGCCGGGGACAGAGTGCCTGCCCACCAGACAATGCTTCTAGACAAACAGCCGCTTCCTCCGTTAATGAGTCCTGTGGAATGCAGATGAGATTTTTTCCTCCTCCTTTTTGCTGATTAAGTTCCCCCAAAACCCCCTTAAGGATTTTAATAAGAAATGCAAAAATCAACAAAAGTCCGGCAAAGCCTTTCCTGTTATTAAATAAAGGGAAAGTAAATATTGCAAATTAGACATATTTCATAAGAGGATGTTTTGTTTGGGCTAAAAAAATGAGAAAGAAAAGAAAAAGCTATTTGCTTTCTGGCAGCAAATACATGTCTTTGCTGAAGTTTGATTTCAAATTTGATGACTGGGACATTATTCCTGGTTTGCCTGGAATTCAAGCCTTTTGACATTTGATGAGGGAAAGCTGGTTTCAGGCTGGCCAGGTCTCTCCTTCTGGGACCCAATGGAGCTTCTTCAGCTCCCAGGAAACCGGATCATACAAGACAAAAGCAACTCGGAACCAAGGAGACTTCATGTGGTTCTGCCACAAAGAGATGAGAGAAAAATAAAACACAAAAGGTTCCGTTGGTCTACTTTTTAAAAAAAAAATTATTTTGAAGGTAGTAAAACTACAACAGAACAAAGCCAATCGAGACAATGCAGTGACACTGGTACAGAACTTCACAGTAGGATCCTGGGATGGTACTAATAGGTACTATGGAATATCTCGTTATCTTCACAATAGATTTCCAGTGAATTAGGTATAGCGAAATCAAACCAAAAACAGAACGTATAAAACCAATTGAAACAGAGTGTTGAATAGAGCAAAACAAACAACAAATCAAAACAGTGAAAACAACCTTTGCCTTCAAACAGAAGACAGAAGGAAATCCCCCATATTTGCTATATTGCATATAGCCATCCTTGCAAGAGATGCTGAGACGTCTATTCCCAATTGCTATGGGGGTGGTGCTTAATTCTTAGCCTGGTAGGCTCACTGGAGCCGCTGGTTCTCTTCCTGGTCCGCGCCATGGGCGTTTACAAAGAAGGCAAGCGAATAAGCTGCCTAAGTTCCATCATGGCCGGATCTCGGGAGCCCGTTGGTCTACTTTTTAGGATAAGAGAGGAGACGCTAAAACACAGCACAGCAACACAGCATCAGTCCTGACAAAGGGCCTGGTGGCTGCAGGACTGGTTTAAATCTACCTCTGCCATTTTAGGCCTGCGTTACCCGGGTAAACTACTTAACTTCTCTGTCACTTTCCTCATCTTTAAAATGGGAAGAATAAAAGCATTTACTATAAGAGATGTAATCAGGGATAAAAGAGTGGGAAAATCAGTCCAGAAAAGTAAGGCGCTCTGCCAGGAGTGGTGGTACATGCCTGCAATCCCAGCACTTGAAGGCAGAGGCAAGAGGGTCGCTGTGAATTCAAGTCAGCCTGGGCTACACAGTGAGTCCAAGGCCGGCCTGCACTGCACAGCAAGTGGAAAGACAAAAACAGAAACAAGAGAAAAAGAAAGCAAAACGACACATGCACCTCATGCAATTTGTATAAAGGGACAGATAGGAAGGAGGAGGGACGAGGGAGGCAGAGCGACATAAGGCTCAGCGACGGTGGCTGTGCTGGGAAGGAGGCCTTCCAGGTGCCAGCGAGGGGCACCTGTACCTGTCGCATGCACACCCAGCACAGCACAGCCGGCAGCTGCTGGCACACACAGCTGTCACTGAGCACACATCACTGTGCAGTGCGTGACATGCCTGGCAGCCTCCCGATCCTGTAGGCGACAGGAGTTTAGGAGAGAAGAGTGTTGGCTCAATTTCACGTGCCGGTCACCCCTGCCCGGGGGACAGAAAAGACCTCGGTGAGAATCACCCTTGATTTCCACTTGGAGAGTAGGCAAAGCCACCAAGAATACTCATGGAAAGGTGTCCAAGGCCAGTGGGTGCCACACAGCTGCCATGCTAACACTGTGGGAGGCTGAGGCAGGGGGATCTCAGGTTCGAGACCCAACTGGCAACTTAATGACTTCGTGAGCCCCTATGTCAACCAAAAAGAGGGCCAGAGTGCAGCTCCGTGCAAAGGCCCTGCATTCCAGCCCCAGCACCAAGAGAAAAGAATGTAAGTGTCACCTATATTCACACAGCTTCCGGTTTATTTAAGAAATAAAGCAGGAGAGATATAATGCTGAGGCCTCCTTATCTACTACCAAAGTCCCAGAGAGAACTGACAGTTTACGTGCTCCGACTTCTGAGGTCTTTAAAATAATTTAACATAGCTATATGTACATCGAATACCTGGTATTTTGTATTTTATTTGATTCTTATTTTGGGGATGTACCAGGGATCGAACTCATGACCTCATGCTTGCCAGGCAGGCACTTACATATTTTAAACTACACATATGGTGTTGTATGATTCATACAACATGTGCACCTTGACTTCATTAGTTTTTAAATTTTATCCCTTTTTTTTCATATGAGGAATTGAATCTAGGGAGCTCTGAGCTACCTCCCTGGGTCCTCCCCCAAATCTTTTTATTTTATTTTGAGTCAGGGTCTCAGTAATTGCCAAGAATGATCTCCAATTTGGGAATCATCCTGCCTTAGCCTCCTACGTACCTGGGATCCCCGGCATGTGCCACCATATGGCCAAATGCATTCCTTTCAGCTGCCGTATAGTATTCCCCCGTGGGGCTGTCCTACCTTACGTTCTATATGTCTATCCTTCAGGCAGGGACATTCAGGTCGTTTTCCTTTTTTTTTTTTAAAAATAGGGTTTGATTAAATAAAAATCCTTTGCTAAGTGTCTGTTTCGGAATACTTGCCCAAGTTTCTCCAGAAGACTGTATGGAGCCAGCATCCTTGGAACCAGGCCCCTTGGTGGGCACCCCGGTAGGGAGTGGGCTGTCTCCCCAGCACAGCTGGGTCCAGAGACGGCGCCCAGCCCTTGCACAGGGTTCTGAGCCGGAACAGCGCAGGGACTCAGGAGACCCACCTCTCAGCATGTGGTGTCTCCTTGCCCCACAGCCTGGTCCATGTCTCCTCAGATCCACAGTTTCCTTGCCAGTGACCCAGGAGCTGATGGGGCTTCTGCTCTGGTGTGCATGGGACAGTGTGACCCCACTCTGCCTTCTCCTGCACGCCCTCTGAGCTGGGGCAGTACCTAAGTCTCTGCAGTGGCTGAGCAGGACGATGTCCCGATCTCTTTGTCCCGCAGGCTTTGTGCTTTGTTTGTGTTCGAAAATGCTGGCTTTAAGTGCTTCCTGGGACCCTGTCCTCCTTTTCAATCCAAAAAGCAGTGTCCAGGAGCCTGGGTCCAATCTGCTGAAATGTCTCCTTCTGGTGGCCCCTCTCAGGTACTGCACGGCTCAGCCTGTCTTGGGAAATCAGTGGGGCAACAGCCCAGCCCTGCTCAGAAAAGCCTGTGGCTCCCCATTGTCTGAGGGGTAAAGTCCAGAAGCCAAGCCTGAATGAACTCCTGCAGATTGGGCCCATCTAAGGAGCCTTATCAGGCTTGACCGCCTGCCCTGCCTGGCTGGCCTGCTCCTCCCCGCTGCAGAACCTCAGAGCCCAGCTTTGCCAATGGGTGACAGGTGGCCCATGCCACCTTTCCTGTCTCCACCTTCCAGGCTCAGCTGATGGGAAGCCCTCAGGCCCTGCACCCCTCCTGATGCTGTCGGTCATTTTTCTATTTCCACATGGAATGCAAGGTCCTCTCCTGAGTCCAGCATGATGGATTACAGGGAAGCCTAGGAGTCCTCAGATTGAGGCCCTCCCTGGCCTCCACTATTGCCCAAGAAATTATGGGCAAGCAAGGTGGCTCATCCAGGGAGAAGCAAGGACACAGTCTCACAAGCCTGTTATGGGGAGGGGACAGTGGATGCACGGTGGCTGGCACCCGGTAAACACTTGGTAAACACTCAGTAAACTGACAGTAGGGTGACACATACCAATACAGAGACACAGACGAAGCACTGCACTCATCTCAGCACTGCAAAGAACAGGAAAGGAAAAGGATATCCAGGAAAACCTGGATTTCAAATGAACTTTTTTTTTATTGGATAGGGTCTTACTGTAACCTTGAACTCTGAGATCCTCCTGTCTCAGCCTCCCACGTGCTGGGATTCCACAAGTGCACCAGCATGCCTGGAAAACAACTTTTTCTTTTCTTTCTTTCTTTTTTTTTTTTGTCTTTTTCCTTTTTATCAGTACCGGGGATTGAACTCACAACTGCCTGCTTGCAAGGCAGGCACTTATGCTGCTGAGCTAAACCTTTCTTTTTGTGGTGCTGGGGATTGAGCTCAGAACCTTGTGCATGCAAGGCAAGAGTTCCACCACTGAGCCGCATCCCCAACCCAAACAACTTTTTCTTAAAGCATCCTGCATATTACGCAGTGGTTCTGTGTCTCATGTCACAGACAAACAGCGTGAAGGACAAGTGTCCCCTTTAGAGATCTCAGTATTGTAACTGGATAAATAGGTTCCATACTTTCTCTTCTCAGATTCTTTATTTGCAATTCATCCCCTCACAAAAAATTACATGTGACCTCAGAGCCAGTGCCTGACAGTTGTAGACCTTCGCACACAGGCCAGCTTGGCCAAGAACCCTAGTCACCCAGTGCACGCCCCCTTCTTGTCTCATTCCAAACATAAACAAGTGCACTTTATGGACTGCCATCCTGGCCACCCACTCGGTGCTTTTGCTAGTGACTGAGCTGTTTTTTGAGGATCCACGCTGGGCGATGAGGGCTGCCCAGGGGCTATGCCTCTCTGGAGGAAGGTTGGGGGTTAAATAAGCTGCCCTCGGGTGACAGTTGCTGAGCTGTTGGCCAGGAGTTCCACGTTAATGAATCAACAATTGATGTTATATAAGACAGCTTTAAATAGAAACCTGGAGAACAAGGCCCTACATTGATCAGGTGATGGAAATGCTTCCATCAGAGATACCCAGGAACCCAGCCCCTGTTGCCTCTGGGAGCAGCAGAGCTGTGTTTGCTTGTTTTTGATTCAGCAACTTTAGGGGAGGACTGTCTCAAACAATGAGAATCAACTATTCGATTCTGCCACACACATCGCTGTACACATATGTACTAGCTAAGCCCGTCTACTGGAAATACACTCAAAGAACTACGGGGAATTTTCTGTGACACTTGTTTCTGGAGTGGTTTATTCGGGCTTTGCTTGTTTTGAGACAGGGTCTTAGTGCAGGCTGGCCTTGAATTCATTATGTAGCCCAGGCTGTTCTTTGAATTGTTAATCCTCTTGCCTCAGTCTCTCAAAAACTGGGATTACAGGCATGTGCCACCACACCTGGGACTAAAGTATTTGAAAATACTTTAGTGTGGCTTGTGCCTATAGCTCCAGCTACTCAGGAGGCTGAGGCAGGAGTTCACCCAAAGTCCAAGAATTTGAGACCATCTTGGGCAACACAGTGAGTCCCTGTCTCAAAACTGTAACTACTCCAGTTTGGAAATAAAAATGTGTACTTGGAGAGTATCAAAGAAACAAGATACCAAAGACCAAAGGTTGTGCAAATGGTTATTTATAAGAGTACTTTCCTTGTTTTCCTGTGTATTCAAAAGTGATTGTAACCAAAGGTTTGCAATGCAGACACAAGAGAAAGTCTTGGGAAGAACTTTCCGTTTGCTGCCATTTCCTCTGGCCTGTCTGTGGGGAGAGGGCTCAGGGTGATGCCTTGACAGTCAGTAGGAAGCCGGGCTCTATCTCAGCCCATTCAGACTTACAGTTACCTTGCTAGTGTCTGAGTTCAGATAAATGAGGAAGCCAAATGGACTACCTCTGAGACCCTTGTGTTGTTAAAGCCCTTTAGCGCAAAACCCAGTGTGGGCTGCTTGTCTAACCTGAAAGCCACAACTGCTCCAAAATCAGAGATAAATTCTACACTTGCACTCCTGTGATGGGTCACACTCAAAATGCAGGGCCTGAAAATACTATTTCTGGCTGTGTGTATGGAGGAGATGTGGGCAAAAGAAATGAATTCCAAGCATAGACCAGGTTGGCATTCCCAAAATACTTCATCTTGTATTTGCAAAGATTCCAAAATCTAAAATATTTCTGGCCCCAAGCATTTCAGAACAGAGGTGCCCAGCCGGCCCTTACTTCTGACGTTGGCTTGCCTGGGCACAGCACTGCCTGCAGCTGGCCCATCCACTCTCACCAACTGGGTTGGGTGTGCTTTGAGGGTGGCCAGCAGGGGGCGCTGCCTGCGGAAAGGAACCCTAGCGTCCTCTGGGCTCTCAAGAGCAGTAGCAGGAGAGTACAACCCCTTAACTGCTCACTCTGTCTCTCAAGGGGCCTCCCATGCACCATGTAGAAGATCAGGCCATGTGAACGTTTTGCCCTTGAATCTTCAGCACGGTGACCTAAACAAGCCGCTATCACGTTTCCCAGCTCTGCATACTTCGTTGGAGCAATGAGAAACGGGCTGTTTGAGTGTGGGGAGCACACAGGTAACCCCAGTAGTCTGGAAGCTGAGGCAGGAGGATCCTATATTCGAGTCCTGCCTGGGCAATTTAGAAAGACCATCTCAAAATAAAGTAAAAAAGGGGCTGGGGATTTAGCTCACTGTGAAGGCCCTGGCTTCAGTCCCACAAGGGAAGTCAGAGAGAGTGAGAGACACAGACAGACAGACAGAAGAGGGAGAGGGGGAAGAACTCTTGGATTTTGCTTTGTCTGAAGCCTGTGCTTCCCGGACCAGCAGTGAAGGCCCACACGGGTTAAGCACTCCGTGAGCGCCACACTGTGATCTTGTGATCTCCCAAGAGCTCACAGACCCTTGAGAAACAGCAGGAAACTGGGTCAACACAGACTGTGCCAGATAATGCAGAACGCAGAAGCCAGTCACTCAAGCAGGTGGCCCAGCACGGGTGAACTCTGAGGCGGCACCTGAAAGACAACCAGAAAGGACAGCAGCACAGGCACAGGGCGTGCAAAGGCCCAGGGGCAAGGAAGGTTGGAGAAGGCCCCACCCAGCAGTCCCTATCGCCCTCCTTGTGACCTTTTGCCTCCTGCCCACTTGGAAAGGCTCCTGTAGCCTCCCTGTCAGGGCTGCTCTAGTCCACCAGGGCCTAGGGGGCTGTCACACTTCCTGTCACTCAAGTCTCAGCCATCCTCTTCTAGGTGGAAGGCACAATATTCTGGAGTCCTCTGGGTCCCCGAATGACTCACACAGCCAGTGGGAGTGGTGGTGGGGACTGAGCTGAGATTCCACACCCGGGTTTGGGCAGGGTCTCAGGAGGAGGCGCCCTTGTATGCTCCCTGCAGCACAGCCTTTTGCACCGCAGGTTCCCAGGTCCGGGTCACACGGCACAGGCTGAGGTCAAGGTCCCCAGATGTCTTTGAATGCAGGCCGGTGGCATCCCCACTTACTCCACCACCCACGTGACTATGCGACACAGGACAGGTAGTTTCGCTTCTCATCTTGTAAAAGGAGTCTTACGAGGAGTAACCGAGAACCGTCCCCGTAGTGAAGCCAGGACAAACGTGCTCTGCCTCCCAGCCGGTGGAGAACCAGCACACACGCCAATCCCGCCAGGGAGCCTTGCGCAGGCGCACTCCAGAAGACCCGGCCGGGCGTCCCTCGCGCTTGCGGCTGCGCACTGAGCTAGTTTTGCGGCCTCGCTGCTTGACGGCAGCCGGTGTGGCGTTGCCGGGTAACAGCAAGCGCGTGGGCTCAGTCAGGTGAGGTCTAGAGCGCGGAGAGGCCAGGCCGGGGTCGGATAGGACTGGGGCTTGCACTGTAGGCGCGGGTCTCCAGACGACCCCCTTGCCACAGGGTTGGCGGGGAAGGGCTCGCGTCTCCCGGAGCTGGGGCTGCGGAGGAGGCTCCGGGGACAGGTGGCTGCCTTGGCTGGGGGAGGCGTGTGGCCTCCTGGCCCGAGTGTCTGCCACGAGCCCGCACGGAGAGCATCCAAGAGCGGCTAGGTAAATATGCGGACGGCACGCGTTTCAGAGCTAGGCGGGCCCACTTTGGGGACGGGGAAAATGCCGACCTGCAAGCGCGTGCGCCCCGGGGCGCCATAGTCTTCGGTGTGTGGGCTGGGATGCAGCTCGTGGGCGGAGCCCCGCGTGTGATCTCCAGCACTGAGAGCCACACACCCAGCCCGCGTCCAGATCCCTGACTACCCACAGAGCCTCTCCTGAGCATCGATTTCCCGGCTTCCTTAGGCCTTGCCATCCCGCACTGTCTCACTTTTGGCCTCTGTGAGGTACAGATAGTCATTGTCATCGGGCACCCGAGCTCAGGTGGCACTCGGGGTCTGGAGTTCATACCTGCCTGTGATGAGATTTCATTTGGTTCGCGGTCCCCTCTTCTGCTGTCAAGGCACTGAGCGCAGATGCGAAGGGCCTTAGGGGCAGCCTTTCTTTTCTGCTTTGCCTTCCAGCTTCAGCAAGAAGTCAGTCTTTTTCCTTTTGTTTCCTTTTCCTTGAGACAGGATGTCGCTGTGTAGTCCAGGTGGCCTTGAATTCACTATGTAGCACCAGCTGGTTGAGGCCTCGCTGAGATCCTCCTGCCTCTGCCTCATGCTGGGATTACAGGTGTGCACACCACACCAGGCTCAGCATGAAAGACTTATGAAGCTTTCTCTGTTGAGTTTTACTCTCCTGGAAAGGGAACTGCTTTGTGAGACAGTTCCTTTCGATCGTCTCCAGAAAGCTGATGTTGGTATTTATGAAGTCATTCTTTAAAAAGAAGAAAATTATAGTAATAAATAAAATTAATATAAATATAATATTAAAAATAAATATAATTAATATAATTGATTACTTACAGTACTGAGGGTTGAACCCAGGGCCATCACACTGAGCTACATTCCCTGGCCTTTTTTACTTTTTGAGACAGTATGATGCCTTTCTTGCAGTATAGAGCCTGGAAGATGCTTTTGCTCTTTACGAATTGTTTAAAATAATAGCTTTATATCATCTCAAGATGTATCTTTCCATAAAATATCATTTTTAAAACGTACAATTCAGTAGGATTCACAGAATTACATGGCTGTCACCTTCGCTGCAATCTAATTTTAGAACATTTTCTTCAGCCCCAAAATAAACCCTGTGTCTGTTAACAGTCACTCCCATTTTCTCCCGTTCCGGCAACGCCCAGCTCTGCACACTTGCCTGTTCTGAGTGTTTCATGTTGGCGATCTCATCAGTGGTCTTTGTATCTGGAATGTTCACTCAGCATAGTGCTTTCAAGTCTCTGTTGTAAAGTGTATCAGAGCTTACGCCTTTTTGGTGGCTGAGTAAGGTTCCGTTGTGTGGTTTTGTTGATCAACTATCCACTTGTGGTGGATAGTTGAGTGGAATCCATTTGTGGCTGAATATCACCAGCTGTGAGCAGTCAGGTACAAACTTTTCCATGAACTGTGCCAAGGAGCGAAATTGCAGGGTCCTGCCGTAGCTCAGTGTTTGGCATTTCAAGATCTTGCTATGCTGTTCTCTAATGCCATCAAGGTCATGGGGTGACAAGGATGATTTTTTTTTTTTTTTGTCTTTTTCCTTTTTATGGGTACCGGGGATCGAACTCACGACTGCCTGCTTGCAAGGCAGGTGCTTATGCCTCTGAGCTAAATCCCCAGCCCCGACAAGGATGATTTCCTCTCATACACTTGAGCTGGAGAACAGTTTCCCTTGATCCGCAGATGAATTGGTTCTAAGACTTAACCACTGATACCCAGGTGTAAGGGTGTTCATGCCCCTGTGTAAAATGGCACAGTACTTGCACACAGCCTCTTCTCCATGTACATGTGTTATCATTTCAGAGTCCTCTACCTAAGGTGATGCAAGTGCTCTGCGAATATTGTTACACAGTAAAGTTTTGGGAATAAGGAAAAGGGGAAAATGTCTGTATATAATATAACTAGCATGGAAGCAGTTTTTCTGCATATCGTCTCCCCATTGTTGAACCTCCGGATATAGAGCCTACATGTAAGGGACCAACTGTACACATTCTGTTGGTTCTCTTTTCTGAAGAACTCTAACAAATAAACAAGTTTTATAAAGAAATGATTAACATATTAAGAAAGGTTTCGATCATAGATACCTAGTTATGAGTACACTAGTCCCTCAGGTTACAAACTTAATTCTTCCATGATTCTGGGTGTAAACCAATTGGATGAGAACCAAATCAAATTTCCCCATAAGGCCAACGCTGACCCTAACCATTGAATTTGATCCTGGGAGTGATGGATCCAATGTTTTGGATGTATTCAAGGCCTTTTTGGAGTGCAGAGCGTTTGCTAGATTTAATTTGCTAACTTGGCTTCATCTTACATCCTATGACTACAAGGAGCCCTAAAAGTCCTCAAGAAACATGGTTGGCTGAGTGAATCCAGGGACAAAGTCCCGGCAGGCAGGGATCCAGGGCCACTTGCTCCCTGGAGACCTCTTGCTGCAGGTTGGGACTTGTCCCTTGGCATCAGTGTCCCCTTTCCAGGGAAATACGGCGCCCACCTCGCTGGGGGCTGTGGGCCTGAGATGCTCTCAGTGATGTGCTTGTACAGCATGTTGTTGTGACTCCCCTTCTTCTGGGTAACGATTTTGTAAAGATCCTGTTTTCCCCACAGACTGCAGCAGCCCTTTCCAAGACTGCATGTAAACGATCAGTGTATGGGTAGCTGTTTCTTTGAAGAGCGCTTGCCCTTGAGGGATGGCAGAAGCTGTGTTCCATGCACCAAAGAGGAAAAGAAGAGTGTATGAGAGCTATGAGTCTCCTCTGCCGATCCTGTTTGGCCGGGACCTGGGTCCTCAGAAGGAATTCAGAATATTCCGTGCTGAGATGATCAACAATCATGTGATTGTGAGGAGCCCGGCGGACATGGAGCAGCTATATGGGAAAGTAAGTGTCAGCAGCACCCCATTCCCCCAGCCCTGCCAGCTTGGTCCTGCACACTTGGCATCAGGTGCCTGAAGCTGCATGTTGTGGGAGTAGTGGGCTGTGTGGGAGCCACTGTACCCCAGCCTGCACTGCAGTGATTAAAAGCAGCGCAAAGGTGCCACTTACAGAAATGTGCTTTGGAACCAGAGCATCCCCTGTCCACCATCACATTCCTCCAGGTTCGTTCGTGCTCCCGGACAGGTCAGCTGAGACTTCTGAGCGCCCACTTCTTACTGTTCTCTCCGGCGAAGGGCATCTTAGATGGGGGCAAGGTCTGTTTTTTACTGTTTTCTAGTAATGACGGCCTGGGTTGAGATTGGTAGCTCGCTCATTCCTTTGCCTTGAAGCTCATTTAGCACTAGGGGTATTTAAAAAACAGCTTGATTGAGATCTGATTTACAACGATAAAGCTGGTCCTCTGTCCATGCACAATGCAGTGGTTACCTTAAATTTAGAGAGGGTGCAAGCACCACAACTGTGCAGTTTTAATATTGGGTTTTGGGGAAGTAAACCAAGGATCTGGCACTCTGACACCAAGTTACGCCCCTGACCCCATGAGCCAGTGTTAGGACGGTCCCTTTGCCACAGCGTGCCTATCGAACTGGGTCCCAGCTTCCGCTCACAGCCTGAGGCACACAGCGAGCGGCCTTGGGTCACCTTCCTTGTGCCCTCTCCAGAGACTACAGGAGTAGGTAGAGGCACCCTGCCTCTGAGGGTGAGCACAGACCTTGACTCTCCATGGCTCAACATCGAGGTCTTCATTTGTACTCCCTGTCAAGCAACAGTCTTTATAAATGCCATGCACTTTGTATATTCTGGCTGTTAGATCTACATGGAGGGTGAAGGGTTTTTATTTTAATTTTAGTTTTCTGAGGCCCAGACAGGAGGATCATAAGATTGAGACCAGTCTGTGAGATACTGTCTCAAAATAAAGAATTTTTAAAGGGTTGGGGCTGGAATTTAGTGCAAGGCTGAACACCTGGTGACAAAAATAGCATGGGTAACTACATGTTGCTTTTGGGATCAGCCCCAAGGGAGAGCACTTCAGTTCTGGGGTGCAGAGGGCCTGGGCAGCGTGTCTCTCAGGCACACAGTGTTCCCGATCCACAGGCAAACAGCAGTCTCTGTCCCCGCCACCTGTGTCCTCTGTGTGTCAGACCCAGACCAGAGTCAGGTCAATGAGGCACACTGCAAACTTCCTTTGCTCCTCTAGAGGGCAGAGTCACAGAAAACACAAATCATGAATAATCATGGACAGCCAAGAAGAGGGAGATGAGCCACTTGTGACCCCAGCAGTTGCATTTCGCTGTTTCTGGGAGGTGTGTCTAACTACAAACTAATTCCTTCCTCTCTTCCCGGAAGGGTTATTTTGGAAAAGGCACTCTCTCAAGAAGCCGTCCAAACTTTTCCATGTCGGACTCGCAGCTGGTTGCAAAATGGAAAGGTAAATGCATGCTCTCCTCAGTGCTTTCTGGCCCAGTAGACTTTGGGATCTCACCTCAGTAAGGTGCAGAGTGGTAATGGGTACGTTGGAAGTTTCCATTTCTGGCACCATTGAAAACAGGGAAAATTAAAAGCATCAGTTTCATCTGGTTAAGATATAATTAGATAAGGTTTTTAAGAGATTTTATTATAAGAAAGTATTCGTTGTCAAGAGAAGTTGCCAGTTCTGCAGGGAAGTGCAGAAGTGTAACAGGTCCCATGCTGGGGCCCTGGGAAATGCACTTTCATGTGTTGCCGGTGGGAGTCAGTGGTGTTCCCCTCCAGAAGGGAATCTGCCAGTGTCCACAAAACCATGTATCATTCCCTGTTTCCTTTTCCCCCATTCCTATCCCCTCAGTCCCTGGTAACTTTTATGAGTTTCTTTTTCTCGATATTTTCTATATAAGAGGACTCATGCAATATTTGTCCTTTTGTGTCTGGCGTCTTTTGCTTAGCATAGTGTTTTTAAGGTTCATCTGTGCCATGGCAATATCAGAACTTCATTCCTTTTCATGACTCCATAATATTCCAGTGTGTGGTCAGACAGCCACATTTTGTTTATCCATGCACCTGCTACTAGACACTGAGGTTGTTTATACATCTTGGCTGTTGTAAATAATGTTGTGGTCATTGGCCTCCAGATACCTGTTTGAGTCTCTCTTTTCAGTTCTTTTTCGTGTGTACCCAGAAGTGGAATTATTAAGTCATATGGTTGTGCTGTTTAACTTATTTTGTAAACCCAGGAACTCTTGAATACTAGGCAAGCACTCTATCACTCTGCCCCAGCCCCCCACATTTAACTTTTAACTATTTTTGCTTTTTTTGTTTTGTTTTATTTTTGAGACGAGCAGGCCTCAAACTCATGATCTGCTTTCTCAGCCTCCCAAGTGCTGGGATCACAGCTGTGCGCCATCGCACATGGCTGTGTTTCACTTCTTAAGGAACAACTTGTTTACCACAAGGTCTGCACCGTTGTACCCCGCCATCAGCTGTGCCGCAAGGCTTGCGGTTTCTCTACATCCTTGCCAACCTCTGCTTGCTTACTTTCTAAATACTAATCATCTTGGGCTGGGAGCTCAGTGCAGAGCATTCAGCTACCAAGTATGAGCCCTGGGTCTGATTCTCTGTGTTGCCCTGTGCCCCCTAAAACAGGTCTTAAGTGGTTAAGTTTCTGTTGTAGTTCGTTTTTGTTTTTATTGAGATAGGGTCTTGCTAAGTTGTTCAGCTTGGCCCCAGACTTGCCATCCTCTTGCTTTGGCCTTAGCATTCTGAATAGCTGGATGACAAGTGTGTACCACCGTACCCAGCTAAGACTTAAATTTTAATTAAGTCTGGTTTATCTGTTTTGTCTGTTGTTGCTTGTGCTTTTGGTACTCTTTTTAATAAACCAGTGTCAAACCCAGGCTTTCCCCTGTTTCTTCTGAGTGTTACGGGTTCAGCTCCTTGCATTTGGTCTTCTTTCCCTTTGAGAGGTTTTTGCAGGGGTGAAGGTCCAGCTTCATAGTGCCTGGGGCTGTGCAGTTGCCCATCACATGCTTTGTTTTTAACCGGCACCCTAACTTCCTGGAATGGGTCTTCAAGATGTACTGGCCAAAACAGGACAGGAAGTAGTGGAAGGCTTCTCCTGACAGCACTGTTTGTGAAGTTCAGAGGCTGGGTGCGACCTGACGCCAGCAGAAGGGCGCCGCGCAGGGCACAGGCAGGAAGGCGACGGGCTCTGTGTGCCGTGCTGTATCTAGGAAGAAGGGTGTGTAAATATGTGCTTATTGTGGTTTTGAAAGTGAAAGAATTTGCCTCATACAGTGGCACATATCTGTAGTGCCACTTACAAATCTGCAGGAGATTTGTAAGTTCAAGGCCAGCTGGGAACTTAGCCAGGGCCTAGATCAGTACCAATACTGCTACAAAAAATGATTTAAGGAGTTAAGTGTGTACAACCTGATTTACACTGTGTATACAGGTATGGAAATATCATGTTGCTCCATTACTATGTACTTTCATATATGAGATTAAAAATAAATTTAATCAAAAATAAAAATGGAACAAGAAAACATAATTTTTTTCAGTACTTGAGATTAAACCCATGGTGCTTTTGCACTGAGCTATAATCCCCCGCCCCCCTCCCTTTTTATTTTTAATATTTTGTGAGACAGCCTGCACTGAAATTTTCTATCCTCCTGCTTCAGCCTCCTAAAATGCAGGGGTTACAGGCATTTACCACCATGCTCAGCTAAACCATCATTTTAAAATGTCTCTAGGGAGGAATGAAATAGGATGGGAAGAAGTGAGACCATACAGATTTAAGTCTGGAACCTTGTAAATGTACAACATAGTAATAATTACAAAATAAAATTAGATTTTAAAAAGTAGTTGGTTTTTTTTGTTTTTTTTTTTTTAAATAGAAATAAGATACCCAAACAAGCATGTCAGGTTGGGTTGCATAATCTCTTAGAGAGAAACTCTTTGAGTAACTGAAACCAATACTTACTCAGACTTAGTGGGATAGACTTTTTTTCCATTTTCTCTGACAGAAAAATGGTGCCTAATAAAATACCCCAGAATCCATCTGCTTTGAACATTAACCCAAGCTGGGAGTGGTGGTATGTGCCTGTAATCCCAGCACTTGGGGCTAGGGAAGGAGAATCACTGTGATTTGAGGCCAGCCTGAACTACATAGTGAGACCCTGTCTCAGAACAAACCAAAATAAAACAGCAAATCAAGCAAGCATGGATTTTCTTGCCCATAGCTCCACTGCCCTTGGCAACTCTACCCTTTCCTGGGCTTTGAACTCTGAGCAGCACCTAGGCCTGGCCTCTCTTGCCTTTGAAGGAAGCTACTAGGTTGGGGACCAGAACTAAGACCTGACCCTCCAGTGAACCAGAAGCACTTCACGGGGAGAGATGTGGCCCAGCCAGTATCCGGAGCTGGAGCCAGAGCCCAGACACCTAGATCCATACCTAGGCTCGTGGTGCCACCCAGCATACTTCCCAGCCCCTCTGGACATACAGGTGACTGGGGGTCTCAGGGCCCTGTGCTGGTGATACCTGCTGTCTCTGCTGAGCTGGGGTGATGGCCGGTTCTGAGGTCATCATTGACTGGTCAGCTGTCACCTCCCAGGCTGTGACTTTGGGACCTGAGTTCTCCCCTTCCTTGATTGTTAGTGGGTGACTTTCCCGCTTAGGGGAAACACGTCTGGAACTAATGGAGCTCCTTTGCCATTACAGATGTGGAGACCAACATGCCCATCATCACGTCAGAGAGGTAGGTCACAGCCGATTTCAGCTGTGGCTGAAAATCGCACTTCTGGTGGATGCATCTTTGGGCGGTCTTTCCTGTCTACAGCCCACCTTCTCTTTCTTTCTGGCATTAGACACATTGTTCAGGATGCTTCTGAGTTGAATGTGGATCAAATTCTATTTGAATACATTCAGGTTTTAGGTTGCCCTAAGCTGAACCCTTTGCCAGCCAGGCTGCTTTGGAAGTAGGCATCAGCATGGAGTAATGGGCATCAGGAGGCCAGTTTACCCTCCTTCCATGCTCCACGGGGGTCAGTGAGGGTTTCTCAAACCCTATCCCTGGCCGCTGCTCTGGCCTTGTGCTCCCTGTCCCTTACGAGCTTAGTGCAATGGTCCATTCTGGGGACACAAGGACCAGACCTTCTTCCTCTGCAGCCACATGTGGTGGTCCCTACCATCACCCCAACCTCAGTGTCCCCACAATGGGTCTCCATTCGTGGCCCCTTGTTCAGTGTTCATCCTGCTTCCGGCACACACCAGCAGAGTCTGGCAGCCTGGTGCCAGTGGCCAGTGGCCAGCTAGTGGCTACAGCCCAGCCTGGGAAGTAGAGTGGACTCTGGTCTGGAGATGCACCAGTGGGGCCCCAGTGTGAGCATCTTGTACCACACCTTTTTGTTTCTTGTTCTTTCTGTGGGGTAGGTGTAGTGCTGGCTTAGAATCTAGGGTCTCAGATATGCTAGACAAGTGCTGGACTGCTGACCAGCTGTGGGTGCAGGGTTCTTTCAGGTCTTTCCAGTCTGGGCAGTGGATGGAGCTGCAGCTGCAGCTCTGGGTGACCACTCACTTGGCACACACGAGGCCCCTGGCTCCATCCCCCACATGAAAGGGAAACAAAGAGACTTGTTGAAAGTTGTGGGCCCCTTCCCACTAAAAGGAACCACATTAATAAAGACCTGGGGTTCACGTAGCAGAGCTTTGTAGACCCAGGAAGGTGCCAGAATCAAGGCTGTGGTTCTGACAAGCAGGTTCACTCTAGGTCTTTGCCTTCCTCCCGTTGAGGTTCCCATCCCTACACACCTGTGACCTGGCGCAGCTAGGAACCACCTCCAGTTTGTGGACAGCCTCGCTTTCCCCACTGACACCGAGAGGCCCGCACCAGGTTCCTGTGGGGGGCTAGTGGGAGGTGACCCATTTCTTGGATGGGGCAATCAAAACACAGGGAAGTGAAGTCATTTGCTTGTCACACAGTAGTAGGTGACTTAAATCAGGGCTGGATGCAGAGCATGTGTGGTCCCAGAGTCACTGCAGCTCAGCTATGGGAGTAACCTTGTAAGGGATCAGTCTTCTGTGCATTGTGGAGAGGCTCCTGGGGGTGGAACCGAGGTCTTGCACAGGCTTGCCAGGTGCTCCACCACTGAGCTTTGCCCCCACTCCTTTATTATTTTGAGACAAGGTCTAACTAATTTGCCCAGGCTGGCCTCAAACTTAGGATCCTCTTGCCTCAACCTCCCAAGCAGCTGAGATTACAGACAGACACCACGTTCCTATCTACATTTCAGTCTTTCAGATTCAAGCACATGCTGTAATCCCAGCACTCAGGGAGGCTGAGACAGGTCAGAAGTTTAGCACCAGCCTGATCAACTTAATGACTTAGACCATGTCTCAAAGAATTAAAATTGTTAAAAAGTTCAGAGTTGTTGCTCAGTGTGAGAGCCTTGGATTCAGTCCCCAGTATGGGGGGGGGAGGGGAAGAAGACCTTTGAGATTCAGTTCCCCGTATGTGTGGACACACTCGTGTCTGTGTGAGATGATAGGGTGTGGACTCGGGGATTCCAGTGGCTCAGGTGAAGAGCCTGCCAGTCTCCTAAGCATACAGAGCCGATTTCCCCGGGAGATCATGTGCACTATGCATCACAACAGTGACCTGCACACAGATAAGGAGTCAGGCATCTGTCTCATGAGCAAGTGACACTGCAGATGTCATGGGTGCTCTGTGGATGCACTGTCAGCAGCCACTTACAGGTCCCCAAGCCCCACACAGTAGCCTCAGACCAGGAACCAGCAGAGCCTTGGGCTTCTATCCCTTTGTTTTCTTTTGTTTCTTTCGTTTTTGTTTTTGGTAAGTAGTAAGTAGCTATGAAGATCCTGGGACAGTAGCGGCAGGAATGCATGGGAGGGTGAAGGGAGAAAGGGCTGTTTTTTTGTAACTTGGGAAGTATTTAGGTGTTGCCTTCAAGACTGAAAAAGTTCCTGTATGTTTTCTCATGAAAATACACTCTGAAAGTTGTTCTGGGGAAAAGGCTATTATTTCTTTCTGTATCCAGTGAAGAAGTTATTAGGTGCTGTGAAAAATACTTACCAAAATTCTCATTTTGCTCTGCATTACTGTGCAATGGGTCTTGATATTATGGATTAAACATCAGAAACATTGTAATCTCCAAACTTGAAAATAAAACCAAATGAATCCTGATAGAAGATGGTCATTTTCTCTCTGTATTTACCTGCCTCTCTTGGTTTTAAATTATGTAAGTTTTGCCAAGTGTGATGGTGCGTGCCTGTAATCCCAGCACTCTGGGAGGCTGAGGCAAGATTGCAAGTCCCACCCTAACCTGGGTAACTCAGCAACTGAGTGAGACCCTGACTCAAAAAGGCTGGGGATATAGTTCAGTGTGAAGGGCTGGGGCTTCCTCCTAGAGCCAGAAGACACAAACACAGTCCTGTCAGCTGCTGGCGGCTCTGACTGCTGTAAGCAGCTGCTCAGCCCCTGCTAGTCTCTGTGCTCTGCTCTCTTTGGCCCTGGTGGCTGACAGTGTTTCCATCTGCAGGTATCAGCGTCGTCTGGCATGGGCCACAGATTTCCTGCGCAGACAGGGTCAGGATGAGAGCACTGCACGCAGAATCTTGGAGGAGTATACGAAGCCAGTCCAGCGTCCCAGCGAAGGGAGCAGTACAGAGGGGCAGCTTCAGGCTGGACTCTTGGCAGGAACAGCGGGGCTTCCTGGGATGGATGGAGCCTCTGGCACTGCACAGGAGACAGGAGAGGCCGACATGGGCTCTGGGCCTGACCCACTGGCTGCAGCCGTCTTCAGGGATCACGTGGGAGAGGACCTCACACCTGCTCCCTGGGTTCCCAGCTGTGCACAGGATGCACTCCGCCCCCAGTGTGGCCTTCAATCTGCAGCCAGCAGCCTGCTACCCAGTGTCCTCCATGCTGGAGAGAGGGAGTCTGGCCCGGAGTTCGTGCTGGTGGAGGAGGAGGCAACCAGGAGCGAGGGGGAGGACACCCTGGAGGAGGAGGTAAAGAGGAAGGGTCTGGCCCCCTCACTACTCTGTTTCCATGGCTTCAGTGCCCACGGCCCGGAAGTGTCCTCTGCCCTGACTGCTTCGAAGATAACACTCTTTTTCAAGAGTGTCACTTTTATCACAATGTATTGTTAGAATTGTTCTCCTTTATTACTATTACCTATTTTTAATCTCTCACTGAGCTTCATTTATAAGTTAAACCTGAAATGTGATTAACAAACACAGGGAATATTTAAATTTTTTAAAAAATTTATTACTATAAGACACGCATTGTGCTGGATGTGGTGGCACATACCTATAGTCCCAGCATGTAGGAGACTGAGGCAAGATGGTTGCTGCAAGTTCCAGAGCAGCCTGGGCTACGTAGTAAAGGCCAGCCGAAACTACACAATGAGGTCCTTGCCTCTACTCTCCCTCCAAACATTGCATTGAACACACTGAGCGCGTCACCCTCACCACTTTGTGGAGCAGTTCTCAAAGTCCTCTTTCTCAAATGTCTTCAGTTGTCCTGTTGGGGCTGCTTCAGTGTCTTTAAATGATTCAAAACATTCATCTTTCTTGATCACTTTAGCCTTGGGGAACAGCCAGAAGTCCACAGTGCCAGGTCCGGTGAGTGAGGCAGACAGGACACACCAGAATGGTTTTGTGAGCCCACCTTTCCATTGGGTGGCGCTCAGCCGTAACATCCATCTTATTTTCACAGACATGGAAGGACTTCCAGAGCTACGGCAGAGTGGCAGAAATGGTGGGGAAAGAGTGCCCAAAACAAGGGGTTGTTTTCAGCAGAATTCATGGCAATGAGCCTTGTATTGTGATAAATTTCTAAAAGGTACACACTCACTGTTTGGATCATACCTCATATATCATAGATGTGCTGGGCAGGAACAGCAGTGTCCTCAGGACAAGGTGCAGCTCTGAAACCCTGCCTGTAGAGCCCTCTATGGCCTATAGGTGGTGGTAGGGAACCCTGGTCCCCTTTCCACAGTAGGTCCGGTGAGACTCAGGAATACAGCAGGGTGGGCACCCTTTCCACTACAGCGGGGGTGGGGAGTAGATAACATTAACTTTCTCAGACTCAAACTAAAGCAAGACAGAAAACTGCAGAATGGCAGTGGCATTGCACATAACCCTGAGCACAGCGAGAAAGAATGACACTTACGAAGGCTTGTTAAGAGTAGACATGCTTAAGGGTAAAAACAGATTCACCCCCATGCGTGCAACTGCACGAAAAATGCATGGGGAAAAAATGTTAAAAGTGAGGAAAAAATCAAAGCTTTCTGCACATAAGTTATAAAAAATGAGATTTTTTTATTTATCCAATGGCTAGTGAAACTTAGGAATTTATAAGAAAGTGGTTTTGGGTTTTAGTTTGTTTTTATTTTTTGTGGGGGAGAGAGTGTTTGTTTTTGAGACAGGGCCTCACTTTGTAGTTCAGGCAGACCTTCAACTTGTGATCCTCCTGCTGCAGCTTCCCAAGTGCTGGGAGTACAGACCTGCACTGCCACACTCAACATGAAAGTAATTATTTTCAGAGGCAGTCTCTTCCACGTGGCTTGTAGTGCATCTGTGTATTCTGTTGTGTTTGATTTTATTTCTATCTCTTCAGTTGGTGCAAAGAAAGAGATTAATATGCAGAAGAAACCCCTACAGGATCTTTGAGTATCTGCAGCTCAGCCTGGAAGAGGTACATTTTCATTTAGGAATTCATCTCCATTGTGTTACTTCAGTTCCAGGAGGTGCAGCACTGTCCTCATCGGACATGAACCCACCTCACCCTGTGTCTTATTTTGGAGTCACTGGATGTCGCAGTTAAGCACTGAAAGCCCTGCAGGCGTTGTGTATGGAAGCTGCCTAAATTTCATTCCTCCACCATTTCCCCTCAGTCCTCAGCTCTGCGTTAGGGCTGGGATGCTCATTGGTGAGCGCTTGCCCAGCACATGAGAGACCCTGATTCCACATTGGAACACTACAAGAAAGCGTATGTTCTGGGGAGTGGCACTGGGCCATTCCACAGAGCATTTAGAGGGACTCATCTTAGTACTTCCCTTTTTGCTAAGTTTTCAGATTGGCTGAATAGGATCGCACTCATTCGCACTAGCCTTTAAAAACCAGACAGCTCTTCAGAGATACAGTTCACACACCATCAGTTCACCTGGTTAACGTAGACAAACCAAGGCTGGAGATACAGCTTAGTGGTGCAGCACGTGCCTGATATGCACAAGGTCCTGGGTTCTACCCCAGCTCTGCAAAAAAGTAAGGTGTATAACTCACCACGTATAGTGCTGCAGTCCTATAATCCAAGCAGCTCAGCCTGGTCAGCTTACTGACACTGTCTCCAAAATGGTAAGTAAAACATGTACCTTCGTGTTGTTTAGTCTCCTGATGGAGCTTGACAAGCTCTAATGGGTCTGACTCTCACTGAGCAAGCGGGTCTGTGTCTCCTGCTATCACATCACTTAGGTGGCACATTTTTCACCACAGTGTGGTAGTTGCACTTTAGCTGAGCCTCCTTCCCTAAGATGCCTGGTTGTAAGTACCACTACTCAGACCGGCAAGGCCTCTCGATCAGGTATGGTGCACTCAGCCCTGCCTTTCCTGCTTAAGTCTGTGCTGCACCCAGAAAGCCCCTTCTGCTTTTGAAGGTCTGGACACTCACAGGTCCCAGGTGGGCCTCAAGGCCGGGTGCACAGGCAGTGTGGTATCTTCATGTCCCACCTCCCAGCTTGTACTCCCTTCCTTGCAGAGGCCGGCAACACTGCGTAGACTTAGCGTGGAAAGGCATGTTTGGCCACATTTACTGCATCGCTGTTGACCATGAAACACGGCAGCTGCTAGTCACGGGTGGGCTATTCCAATTTAAAGTAATTAAATTTGAATGTAATTCAGAATTCTGTTTCTCATTCATACCAGCCACACTACAAGTCCTGGGCAGTCGCATGTGGCCCTGTGTTTACCACGAGGGATGCCACACACATGCAGCCTGCCACATCCTGAGCACACGCCAAGGTGGCCTGTGGGTCCTGGGCTCTTTGTGTGCAGCCTCTTCCTGCAGAGCAGAGCCATAGGACACCTGGATAGGGGACAGCACTGTGCACGAGAGGTCCTTCCTGTCCGGTGTAAGGTGGCTGTAGCAAAATCCAGAAACAGAATCTGTGTCAATTATGAATTTAATCCCATGTCTTCTAAAATACTTAGGTTGAAAGAGAAATATCAGAGCTAGGGGTGCAGCTCAGCAGTAGCACATGGACTTCACATGTATGAGACCCTAGGCTCATCCCCTCGCCAAAAATAAAGTTAAATAAGTGACTTTTTACTAGGTGCTCCCATTCAGTCACTACCTCCTGCAGTGCAGTCTTTGGAGCCTGTGACCTGGACAGATCAGGATTCCACTGTGACCCAAGTCTGGCGCCTTTCCAGAGTTGATGAGAAAGCTCTTTTTAGCTGCACTTAAGAGCAGCTTTATCCACGTAAGGCCACCATCTCACATGCTGCCCCCAGGGGAGTGTGTGCATGATGCAGTTCGAAGCAACAGTTTCCATGACAAAAGCAGGCCGTATGACCGATTGGATAGTGACTTAAGGATATCAGTTTGTATCTGACAGGAAGAGAATGGGATCTGCAGTGGTCTCTTGAGAATGCTGCCAATTGCTAATGGTTGTTTTCTACTGGCTCCATTTTTAGGCCTTCTTCCTGGTCTATGCGTTGGGGTGTCTGAGTATCTACTACAAGAAGGTAAGATGTTTTATGTAAGGGTAGCTCCCCTTCTCTGATGTTCACAGTAGGTTCACTGATTTCCATAGTACGTTTGTTTTGTGTTGTGAGACAGGGTCTCATGTAGTTCAGGCTGATGTTGAACTCACTGTGTAGACCAGGGTGGTCTTGACCTCCTTCCTGACTGCTGAGCACAGGGGTTACAGCCAGCACACCTGGCTAGTCCATATTGCTGTAATTCAGATGTGCTTGTTTCTGCTAAATTAAATAGGAGTTGAAGTTTTTTTCTCTTTAAGTTTTAACTTCAGGTTCTGAACTGGGAATATGCAGGCAAAAGCCAGCTTTAACCCTTTTAGACTGAGTTTCACTCTTGTAGACCAAGAAAAGCACACTGTCTTATACACAGACCAGGAAATCTGTGTCCAAACAACACTGAATTAACGGAGCTGGGCGTGGCAGCAATTCCTGTAATCTCAACACCTTAGGAGGCTGAGACAGGAGGATTCCAAATTCAGCAATTCCGCACAACTTACTGAGACTTAGTCTCAAAACAAAGAGGAGGTATGCTGAGACAGGAGGATTAAAAGTTTAAAGCCATCAGAGGCTACACAGTGACACCTTGCCTCAAAATAAAATACAAAAGTGCTAGGGGCATAGCTCAGTGGCACAACATTTGCCCAAATGTGTGAGGCCCTGGGTTCCTTTCCCAGCCCTGCAAAAAGAAAAGCTACAGGTGTTTACCAGATGTGTCAGTTCCCTTTCACACACTGTTTCCTGTCCTGCCTCCACTTGGTAAGAATTTTACACCAAAGTAACCGGCTCAGAGAAGATGAGTCATCCAAAGCCACTCACTACTCTGGTTAGAATCTCCTGCATCTGGTGTGCTTTCATACTGTGGCTACCATGCACAGAAGAAAACCACATAGACAGCACCCAAGGCTAGGGACTGGGCAGAGGGGAGTCTACGCTGGACACTCGCTGTGCTTTTGCAATTTCAAACCATAATACCGCTTCAGAATAAGTTGGTAAAATAGAATGATAAGCAGAATGCTTAATAAGACAGAGGAAGTATTTTTGTCTGGGTCTTAACATAAATTTATCATTTGTCTAATTGTGATTGTTTTCTTTCTCTGTCTCACTCTCTCTCTGTCTTGGTCTCTCTATCTCTGTCTGTCTGTCTGTCTCTGTCTGTGTCTCTCTCTTTCCTGGGGCCTTCCACATGCTAAGCAAGTGTTCTATCACTCAGCTATGTCCCCAGCACTGTGTATTTTATTTTGAGGCAGGGTCTCACTGTGTAGCCCATGATGGCCTTAAACCTGCAATCGTCCTGACTCAGCCTCCTACATAGCTAAGAATACAGGTATGGGCTACCTTTCCAGCCAATGTTTCATCTCATGTTTTATTTGCGTGCATATTTAGTGGTTTGGAAGCACATTGATTGACTTGTTTTCCTCTGTGTTGGTTGCTCTTAGTTGCACAACCCCCTTTTATGGGCTGCCGCTGGGCTCTTCCAGGTGCTGTAGCTAAAGAGTCCTCACCATCTGGAGACACCAGGCTCTCCAGGCTGGAATCCTGCCTTGTCCTTGTTAGAGGAGTCAATGCTCACATGTGGGGCTTTCATATAAGAAACACAAAAGAAAGGAAAAGGAAACATGGCAGCAAGCTTGCACTTATACTGGTGGGTTTTGTTGCTGTGGTGCTGGGGCTGGAGCCCAGCTACGCACATGTGCTGAGCACTGCTCTGTCTCTGAGCTGCACCCATGGGGTTAAAACCTTGAGCCCAGGGGCTGGGGATTTAGCTCAGCGGCATAAGTACCTGCCTTGCAAGCAGCCAGTCGTGAGTTTGGTCCCCGGTACCGATAAAAATGAAAAAAAGACAAAAAAAAAAAAAAAAACAAAACACCTTGAGCCCAGCCAAACCAAGCACATCGCAGTTAGCAGCAGAGCCAGAGCCCAGCTGAAGTCAGTTCTTTGCTGAATGGGGGCAAAGCTCATCTCACCCAGTTTCGCGTTGCACTGGGTCCTGGCTCCTTGGAGTACACTGTCCCCAGCTGCCCTGTTCTGTCAGCTGTGTCAGTTATACTTGAGCATGCTGCCCAAGCTACTTTCTGGCCTCGGGTGTACTTTCTGGCTCTCCTCCTGGTCCTACTCATGAAGGACGTTACTCTCCTTTTTTCCTTCTCTAGTGCTGGGGTGGAACCAGAGCCTGGGCATGCTTAAGCATGTGATTCACCACTGAGCTGCACCCCAGCTTCTATATCTGTCTTTCTGCGTGCCCCAGATCCCCAGTGGATGCCTCAGGTGGAGGCCAATGAGTCATTTTCTGTTTTCCTGGTAACCACATTACATTTAAAAAGAAAAACACAGATGAGCGGTGTAGTGTATACAGTTTTATAATATAGCACTAACAGGCTGAGACAGGAAGATTGCCTCAAGATCAAGATATAGTGAGACTGCCTCAAAAAAAAAAAAAAGGAAAAAAACCTACTTGGTTAATATTTTAAAAGCAAGTGACATTACTTTTAGTAACAATAATACATAGCTCATGTAACCCAACATATCCACAGTTTGCATTCTTTCTCTACTCTCCCTCCGGTTGGACTCCTGTGTGTGTTACACTCACAGCACTTGTTTGATGAGCCATGTGAGGGTAGTGCCTGCCACACTGGACGGCCCAGTCTGGGTGTCCCAGGAGGGCCCTGCATTTGCCCCACTGCCACTGCTGCTGCTGAGGAGCCACACCAACAGATACTGGTCCCTAGCAGAGGGAAACAGATTATGCATAAACAGCACCTCTTTCTTTTAAATAACTTTAGGAACCCCTGACGATCCGAAAGCTCTGGCAGGTATTCACCGCAATTCGACCTACATTCAGGACAACCTACGGGGCTTACCACTACTTCCGGAGCAAGGGCTGGGTGCCCAAGGCAGGGCTCAAGTATGGGACAGATCTGCGTGAGTATCCCTTCGTGGGGTGGGTGCAGGACCATGCGTGTTACCAGGGAAAGCAGTGGATGTGCTTGTGCTGATTTGCCCTGGCTTACTTAAGGATCTTAGGCACTTGAGCACTCTGGGAGACTGAGGCAGGAGGATTGTAAGTTTGAGCATATCCTGGGTAACTTAGAGACCCTGTCTGAAAATCTAAAAAAAAAAATTTTTTTTAAGATGACATATTTTTTTAATCTTTATGCTGGTGGACTGCTGGATCTTCACACCAGCAGATTGTTGGGAGATTAATTCCTCAAAGGCAACATCCCTGAGTTGACAAAGAGTTTAGTTTATATAGAATTTAGAAGTGGAAAGTACAAAGCAAGTGACAAAATGTTACATAATTGGCTATATGCATTGAGCCATATTTTGACAGGATGCTAGTCTTGAACAAATTTGTTGAAACAAGGGAGACATTTATTGTAATGTAAAAATACTCCAGGAATAGTGCCTCTTTCCTTGAATTATTTGAGTGTAACTTCGTATGCTGTAACATCAAGCACTATGGCGACTACTATTATGTTAGATTACCTGGTGGTGAAACACAATGATGCTTGAATGGTTCGGTTCTGCCCTGCGTTGTTCTGTTACAGTGTCCTCTCTTAATCTCAATCTCCCCCCCACTTTTTTTAAATTAATCTATTTTCTCTCATTTTTTTAATTAAGGGAAAACTAAATTAAAAATAGCGGGACATATTATAGTAACTTTCTTGGTTTTCCTGTTAACCTGATTTGAACCCCAGTATTGCTCTCCCCCTCTTGTTCTGTCTGATTATTCTATATTCTATTTTGTTTGATAGTATCAAGTTTGAGGGCATAGGCAATCACTTTGAAGGCAATAAGATGTACTATGATGCCCATTATGGTTTGACTATTACCCTTTTTTTGAAGTCCTGCAAGGTCTTCAGTGTAGGTTTTATTGGTCTTGTTCTGTACTGTTTTGATCAGTTCTATTATACCTGATGATATAGACAACTCAATTTAAAAATAGCAAGAAGCACAATGGTAACCACTTTTGATCACCTGGTATTCTATTTTTGCATCATGTGCTATGCCCTCCCTTCTGTTCTGACTCTGTTTTGCTTAGTCACATTTGGTTTTATTTGCTTCAAAAAAAGTAATAAGAACTGTGGGAGTAATAAAATCCAAAAAGTCTAATTGTTACTGTAAAAAAGAGAGGAAAAGAAGGTGGACTAAAGGATATAACCACGGGTACTTCAAGTGTGTAGGATGGAAAACCATATTACTGAGCTTTTGTTGGATCATTGAACGGAACTGTCTCCAATTTCACTGTATGAATGTCTACTTTATATGCCTTAATTTTGTAATTTGGACAACTTCCTGGGAAAATAATGTGTAACCTATTAACTGGTGATTTCTTACTGTATATTTTTGTTTTCTTGAAATACTGTATTTTTTTTTTTTTTTTTTTTTTGTCTTTTTCCTTTTTATCGGTACCAGGGATCGAACTCACGACTGCCTGCTTGCAAGGCAGGCGCTTACGCCGCTGAGCTAAATCCCCAGCCCCTTGAAATACTGTATTATTTGTACCCTTTTACTGCCTTTTTTTTTGATGTCCTTTCTTTTTTCTCTTTAAATAAAAGAAAAAGAATCTAGAAACCACAAAAAAAAAAAAAAAAAAAAAAAAAAAAAAAAAAAACCTCCAGGAAACAAAGGGCGAAAGCCCTTATAGAGTGAGCATAGTTAAATGCATTATCATAATACATAACATTCCAGGGAGGAGCCCTTTACAGGGTTTCCTTGAGTAGCCCAGGGTACCTTAAGGTACGTCAGAGATACGCAGCTGGGCTTTAGACACTGTCAGGGTCAATTGAATTTGACAAAGTAGAGTAGAAACTTGATCAGAGACCTCTAATTGATCGTGAAATACCTTGAAGCTTACTCTTTTATAAATTTGTTCTTGGGCCAGGTACATAGCTCAGCGGCCTAAGTGCCTCCTTGGCAAACGCAAGATCATGAGTTTGATTCCTGGTACCTAAATAAATAAATGTGTTCTTACATTAAAATTATGCCCCAGCCAGAGATATAGCTCAGTGGCACAGCGCCTGACAAGCATGAGGTTGGAGTTCAGTTTCTGGTACCAAAAAAAAAAAAAAGACACAGAGATTGAAGTATAATTGTGCCCCAACATTCCTCCCTGTTTCTGTTATAGAAAAAAAAATCTTCCTTAGTTTCCCCAGTTTCGTTAGTAACGAGCTGATAAGAGGGAGTAGCTTGTAAAAGAAGTTGATAGTGTACAGTTTAAACGACTTGGGGGGGGGGTCTGTGCTTTGAACTTTAATTTGAAATTAATTCTAACGTGAATTTTTATACATTCCTAGAACACTAATCCATATTATCTCTAAAGGAAACATGTTTAGTGTAGTGTAGACAGTTGAGAGTCAGCAACCCAAGATTAACATTTATGAAATAAGAACAGAGGCAGGCTTTCTGGGAAACTCTGTGCTGGCGTGCAGCTCAGAGAATGATGGTTAATACCAGGATTAACTGAAGCTGTGGAACTGGGAAACAAGCAGGACAGCCAGACACTGAATCCAGGACTCAGCAAAACAGCAGGATGTACCAATGTAAGGGAGAAAGAAGGCGGTTTTTGGAGGAGACCTTTCAGTTCTCTGGGTACATAACCCAGAGTCCTGTAGCAAGCACTAAAATAAACAAGAAAAAGTCATTTAAAAATTCTTTAAAGTGCTGGCAACGTAACTCTGTAAAAGCCCTGGGTTCAATCCTAGTGCTTAAAACAAGAAAGGAAGGAAGGAAAGGAAAAGAAAGAAAAGGAAGGGGTGTCTGGAGTGGGAGGGAGGGTGGAGGTGGGTCCGTACTCGTGCAGTTAGGCGGGGAAATGTGTGGAGAAGCTGTAGCTCCAGCCCAGGCTTTTCCTCTTGTTTGCTCCCTGACCGTAGAAAAGTGACAGTGGACTTTTGGAACTTCCATGATACAAAGAGCCAGCTGCCCTGGAAAGCCCCCTGCAGCCCTCCTCCTGGCAGTCCTGAGCCCTGTGATTTTGGTCAGTCCCACACTATGGGCCTCAGTTGCTTTATCTGCCAGGCAAAAGTATGTGCAGTGGTACCCCAGTCACAGCTGTCACCCGTGACTGTCCTCACTATGTGTGGGTACCATCCTGCTGCACAGTCCTGATCTCAGTCCTCCCAGTGCTGGGGTGTGGTACTGTGTGCTGGGTACTCTGCTCCTCACGCTTCTGAGGGGGAAGGGTTACCAGCCCTGGATCATTTCCGGGGACTGCAGGAGGCTGGACCCTGGGTTAGGGCTCATGCTTGCAGGGTGCCAAACCAACAAATGCAAAGAGGAACTTAAGGGACTGCACAGCCCAAGACAGGTAAGGAAGAGTTGGGCACCATGGTGCATGCCTGTAATCCTAGCATTTAGAGGCCAAGGCAGAAAGATAGTAGGTTTGAGTCTGGCCAGCCTGGGATACACAACAGACCCGGCTCAAAAAAACGTTGGGCTGGAGATTTAGCTCAGCTACTTAAGCGCCTGCCTGGCAAGTGTGAGGTCGTAGGAGAAAGACAGGTGAGCACACAGGGCCCTGGGCAGAGGCTGCTCCCCAGAACTACTTCGTATTTATATTCAGTATTCAGGGCAGTAGTGGGTTAGGGTTAGGCCAAGCTAAATTAAGCCCAAATCAAGCCCTCTTTTCTTTTTTCTTTCTTTTTTTTTGGGGGGGAGGGGGGTGCCAGGGATCAAACTCAGGACTTCATGCTAACCAGGCAAGCACTAGAGCTGCTGAGCTAAATCTCCCAGCCCAAATCAGGCCTGCCAAACAGTCCTTTTCTCACTGCAGTAAGGACTCGTGATAAAAGGCCATTATGAAAGTTGTACTTTATCCCAAGTCTCTTCTGTTGGGTAAAGCTTGTCAAACTGTGTTGCTGGAGCAGCACTGGCCACAGTGGTCTGATTGCCATTGTATCTGGGCCCACCCTCATACTAACCCTAACCCTAACCCTAACCCAAGATCGTTTCCCAAGTAGTGTCACATTTGTAAGTCCCAGAGATTAAGACATGGTCATATCTTTTGGGGGCCACCAGTTAATGCTCTGTAGTCTCTGAAAGTTTCTTTTTTAAAATGGTTCCTGTACCTGCTGGTTTATTTTTCATCACATTGAGACTTTTGGAATCACTGTATGGGAAGGACTGCATTCTACATAAGGCTGAATGTCCCCCTCCAGATCAACCCTTCTGCACATGTAGGTGACATTTACTTATTATATGTCCTAATTATTTTTCTCATTGCTAAGACAGAATATCTGACATCCAAAGTTAAAGGAGGAAAGGTTTATTTTGGCTTCGTTTGTAGAATTTTCAGCCCATGGTTGGCTGACTCCAAGACAGGGTGGCATGGCAGAGGGGCCTCACAAAGGAGAAACAGTTCATAGCCTGGTAGGCAGGAGGCAGCAAGCAGCGGCAGCCTTCGTTTCCCTTTCATCTCATCTAGGCTACCCACCTTTTCAGTGGTGGCCACACACACGCAGGGTGAGCTTTTTACCCACATCTAGAACAATGCAAAACCAATTACTGAGCTAACCCAGTATCACACTCAGTCAACTTTCACATACCCTACATTCAGTCACCTCCAAAAAGTACTACCTAAAACCACAAGAGACTTTGCAGGGACATGAAGGCATAACCCGTAATACTTAACGTCAGGAGAGCTATGGCAAGAGATAGTCCTGCTCAAGACCCTGACGTATCGCTGGCTAAGATGACCACTGTCAGATATCTGCTGTAAAGTTACATTTTCTCTTTTGCAGTTAACACATTATCTGTAGCATGGTGCTGTGAATATCTAGCTCCCGGGCACCCCATGGGCGTTTGAGTGAACTGTGGCATCATTACTCCTGGTCCCTTCACTCCTGTGTGAGCTTTCATCTGAAAACAAGTGTGAGATTTTTCTCCCCTCATTTTTGTTTCTTTAACATGGCCATGGAGTAGAGCCTGGGCATCGTGTGTGCTGGGCAAGGGTTCAACAAGCACATTACACTCCTAGTCCCACTCTTCCCCAGCCCCATTCTTTGAGTCTTTATTTTTATTTTATTTTTTAAATTTAAATTTTGCAGAGGGCGTGGCAATGGGGAATAGAACCAAAGTGCTTGCCTGCTCAGCACTCCTGGCCACTCTCTGAGCTCTCAGACCTTACTGTGGAATACCCAGTAATTGTCCATCTTCTGAAGCGTTCATCTGTTACATAGGAGGGATTTTTGCGAAGCAAGTTCATCTTTGCCTCTGAGTTCTTGTCATATTGAGTACTTACCATTTTCCAGACAGCATTCAAATACTTTGACCTTCATGCTCTTGTGTTTTGTAGGAAATGGACATGGTCAGATGGTCTTGGTACTGCTGAAAGGGGCCTTAATCTCTCTCTGAGGCCAAGATTATGCTCAGAACTTCCTATAATGTTTATTTACTTAGCAGCCCTGGGAATTGAACCCAGGACCTTTGCCCTGAGCTACATCCCCAGCCCTTTTTTTTTGGAGACAAGGTCTCACCAAGTTGCCCAGGAAGGGTTTCAATTTTCGATTCTCTTTCCTCAACCACTGTACATGACTGTCTTCATTTTAGAATTTTGAAGCTGAGATGGGAGAAGTTAAGAACTTGGAGTGGCAGCAATTAGGCAGGAACCAAAACCTGAAATCCACCTTCTTCCTTACCATCTGCCTCCACCACCCCAATCTCAGGAAGCTGAGAATTGTTTGCATGTACAGTATTTGCTGGCCACAGTGATTTTGAGCTAATTTTCTGGATACTTTAAATACAGCTTAGATGGGAAACAGGAATGAAAGGAAATATAACCATGGGAAACACACTAGCGGCACAACAGGAGGTGGGTGTGCTAATACAAAAGGAGTGCTGTGCTTGCTGTGGGGTACCCCCACCGTGCTTTGAGCTTCATGTTGTTTGCCTGACCCTGAAGGACAGCTAATCAGCTACATGACTCATCTGACCAAAAAGGGAAAGTCTGTCAGTTTCTTGAGACAAATGAAACTTCCTTGAAAAAAAAAAAGTAACTTCCATGAACCTGCCTGCTTGGTTTTAGCATGAGGGAACAGCTGAGAGCTGGCAGGTGGACCTGTGCAGCCCTGATAGTGATTCCCATGGCCAGAATCACTCGTCAATTCCAGGGCAAGGGGATTAGCAATGGCAAGCATCAGCACCAAATGGTACTTCAGGACCACAGATCACTTCCCGTGGCTCCTGGTCTCCAGCAGAGTCCAAGGTCACTTCACAAAGGGCCAGCACAGGCTTCATCTAAAAGGGATTCAGGAACCAACCCAGAAGTAGTACCCATCGGCCACCCTGTCTGACTGCTTGGGAGTAGAGTTGTGCTCTGGCCCCGGGCCCAGGAGGAAACAGTAGTGGATTTGGTGAATAGCTGGTCTGTGTATAATTAGTGCTCACTGGAGGACTAACATGTGAAGGAAGATATATAAATGTATCAGGGTTTACAGGGTGGACTTACAGTGGCCACCCAGAGTCAGATGTCGAAGGGCGCAAAAGGGTGTCTGCATGCTCTAGAACCCAAGGATCCAAGGTGGAAGGCCTAGAGCTCACTGCAGAGCCCATGCAAATTCGTATCGGGAGGCCCAAGGGACTGTGCTAGAAGCCAGGAAATGACTCGTAGGCACAGTAGAGACTGAAGAACAGCAAGCCTTTCTTTCCCTTCTACCTACCTGTTGGCTGGTGCCACTCACGTCCAGTGTGGATCTCCTGTCACTCCCGGAACTGTGCCAATCCAGTCAGCTAGGCTTTCTCACTCAGATTGAATGGGCAGTTAACTATCAGAAGACTCTGCCATATGGCAGTGGCAGAGGCCCCAGCCCCAAAACCCTTGCTGAGCCCCTCTTGCCCCCAAAGATAATTGACCACACCTCTGCCTGGGCCTTAAGAGCAGGACACACATATTCCTGGCTAGAGGGAGTAGTTATAATGACTTTTTAGAAAAGTTTTTGAGACAAGGTCTTGCTATGTATTCTAGTTGGCCTTGAATGCAAATATATAGCCCAGACTGGCCTGGAACTCACAATAATCCTCCTGCTTCAGCCTCTTGAGTGCTGGGATTACAGATGTGCATTACCATGTCTGGTGGCCTTTTGTTTTTTTAATGCCACTTGACTTTGAATTCCTTAAATCTATGCATGACACTGAACTTCTTAGAAATAGGCTTTCGTCTTATCTCTGGCCCTGACACCCGGCCAGGGTGGCCACTTGGGCACTTTAAAGTCACTTGGTTTGAAGTGAGCAGCCAGTATTGGTAGACAGTGTGTGGACACCACACTCTTGGAATCTCATGCTCTTACCCTGTGTGGGGTAAGATAAGAGGCAAGACAGGAGTCACCTGCGGTGGGGTGATGCTCAGGGGGAGCTTGAGGTGGGGAGTTGGGTTTGCATGCTAGAGTTAAAAGTTACACATTTTCTTTTCTTCTTTGCAGTGCTGTATCGGAAAGGCCCTCCATTCTACCATGCAAGGTTTGGCCTAATTATGAAACCTAGGGAATTAAAGGACACAAGGAAATTTCTGGCCTCCAATTCAGTTTTCAGCACTGTGGAAACAGTTAAAAGCTATGTTCCTCTTGGCTGTGATAGGAATGAATGTTAAATGTTGGTGCTCAGCTTATGGCGGAGTACATAACTGTGAGGCCCTGCATACCATCCCCTGCCCTGCAGAAAAAGGAAAGTGCATGCCTCAAACTGACATTGTTACAGTCTAGACAGATTAGGTGATGGCAGTGTGTGTTTTTGTGTTAAAATATGGGGTCACGCTGTGTGGTAATTGTTTATTTTGACATCACTGGGTATTATAGTCTCACAGATTGAGGAAAAACTGTGTGTGTGTGTGTGTGTGTGTGTGTGAGTGTGTGTGTGTGTGTGTGTGTGTAAAAGCGAGTGTAAAATCAGCCTGCAGTTCTATACCTTGCTGTGGATTTTGATTAGTGTTTTCTCAGCTCCAATGTAGTACATTTAAGATCTGATGTGAGTTCACTCTCAGCCTTGTGCTCAAAGCCAGCCTGTGTTTTGCAGCTATTCTGTCATTGTGGAGCTCGTGGATGAGCGCTTCACGGGCCCCCTCCGTAGACCGTTCACTTGGAAGTCGCTGGCAGCGCTTAGCAGAGTTTCAGGCAACGTCTCCAAGGTAACCCACAGAAACCTGGTTTCCGAGTGCCACAGAAGCAGCACTTTTTTTTAAATTGTAATAGAATGATGTTTTTGCCCATGAAGTGCTGAAAGACTTGGGCTCTTATGCACCCCTCATTTACTGGACTGTATCATTCTATTTTGGTCTTTGCTCACTCTCTTCTTAAGGAGCACGGCACCAGGTCCTGTGGCATCTGACAGGTGTCACCTTCCTTGGGCTGTCACTGTTCCATGGGTTGCTTCGTCTTACAGTGTGTCATCACTTACACATTCACAAAGGAACTGAAACGTTGGCGGCAGTTTTTTCTGAGTTTGCAGATCTTTGAAAGAGAGAGAGAGGGACTGGAATGCACTGCTCAGCACTTCGCCACCCTGTTGTCTCATCCTGAGAGACACCAGGTGGCTAACACCAGACCATGGCCCCTCTGGCCTCCTGTTCTCTTCTAGCAAAAACAGGAAAGAAGTTTCGTCTTATACTAAGACGATCACTAACTCCAGCTTTGGGCTGGGAATGTCACTCTGGACCAGAGCACCTGCTTAGCCTGCACAAGGTCCATCCCCAGTGACTTCTGCCGCCCATGTTTGCAAACTGACAGTCTGTGACCACCTGCCCCACTGCTGGCAGTGTTGGCAGGTGAATGGGAGGCTGAGGCTGCAGGGCAGTAGAGATCTGCGCTGTTCATATTCAGTGTCTGCCTGACTGCACCTCTGGCCCTCGCAGTGACTGCTGAGTGGCAGCTTCTTAGTGGAAAAGCCAGGCACGGGCTTCAGGTTCCCAGGGGAAACCCGACATGCTCCAGTGACCTCTGCACCAGCTCTCCAGGTCATAGCAGGAGACAATGGGGACAGATGTGTCCTGGCTCACCACCTGTGTTTGTGCTGTCACTGTGGGATATGGAAATGCTTTTTCCTCCCCAACAGGAACTTATGCTGTGCTACTTGATTAAACCATCTACCATGACAGATGAAGACATGGAGTCCCCAGAATGTCTGAGGAGAATTAAGGTTCAGGTGGGTCCCTCCTGATCATACTAACGTGTCTTGATGGCCCAAGCACTGCACGGTGTCCTCTGGAATGGAGCCTGTGGTGCCAAGAAGTGGAGAGCTGTTCTCTTGGCTCCTCCCCCTTGAACACTGTTTTTCTCCTGTGCTGAGAATGGAAACCACGACCTTCCCCAGGCTGAGCCAGCACAGGACTGAGGCCAGTTCAGTCTTAAAATCTTTGCATGCCTGTAATCCCTGCTACTGGGAGGTTGAGACAGGAGGGTCACAAATTTGAGCTGGCCTGGGCAGCTAAATGAGACTCAGTCTCAGAATTAACCCATTTATGCCAAGGATTGAAATTTTCTGAATTTTTGCATGAAATTTGTACATGTTATCTAGAAATATTCAAGGAACAACAATTTGAAATGAACACATTTCATTGTGTTCCATTGTTAAGGGCACCTCAGAAATGGATCCCTAGGCCCTGAAGGATTAAAAGGTCTGGGATGCAATAAAAGGTTCAGTGCAAGGCGCTGGGTTCAGTCCTCAGTGGCCTCTATAACAAGCATCTGTGCAGCACTGGTGGTGGGTACTGTTCACACAGGAGGGTTCCACTGTTACGGGACCTCCTGTCCCAGGAATGGCAAGACCACCAGCTCAGCGGCCAGCAGCTGTTTGTAAAGCAGAGCTGTGGTACCAGTGCTTTGCATATTTCTTCGCTTCCTTGTTGGGCATGCAGTCACCTCTGTGTTTTGCTGGGTTGCAGGAGGTGATTCTCAGTCGGTGGGTGTCTTCACGGGAAAGAAGCAACCAAGACGAGCTATAGTGATCTAGCCTCGGGCCTGTCAATCCACCATCAAGGTTCAGGGTGGGATGAAAAGTCCTTCCACTGGGATCAGTCATTCATCATTTGAAAGGGCATGATGCTCTCAGCACCAGGAAGCCAGTCCTGTTGTAAAAGATAATTGTAGTAGTCAGCGGTGAAACTCAGAGTATGTGCCTGGCATGCACAAGGCCCTGGGCTCCATCCCTGCAGAGGCCTGTGCTGGACTACAGATTCTGTCCTCAAGCGGGTCCAAGCCTGCAACTGAGCCCAAGCTTTCTGACCCTGTCCTCATCCAGACGCTGGAGGTGATCACCCAGCTGCTCATAGGACTCCCCTGTAACAGGGAGGTCTGCTCTCATTGTTTATCTGGAGACGGGACAGCACTTTACAGTTCAGAAAGCACCTTTGTACACTGGTGTCTCTTGCTCTCCACATCTCATCTGTTCCGTAGAGGGCATCAGAGAACAGATTTCAGGATCACCAGAGCCCATGTTCCCATTACTTCAAGTGAAAAACATACCATGTGTCTCAGCTTTTCCAAGGACTTCACAGAGTTACGGTACCTCAGAGGTCTCTTTATTCTGTGACTGCTTTACCGTGAGATCATGTATCCTTGATATCCTAATAGCAAGTTTGACAAGAGTGGACCCTATAGTCGGGGTGCCGGGCCTAGGAAGCATGTGACACTGATCTCATCATCTCATCTGTCAACCCCACGTGGTCACACTGAGTGCTAGAGACATCCTGTGAGGAAAATGGTAAATCGATACATACCAAGCATTGGAAGCATCTTTGGGACATAATATATCTAAAGAAATGTTGTCTGTAATTTTCATTGCATTTCCTTATATGTGTGACTTGGGACACCTACTGCAGTTCTTTTAAAAATTCATCAACAGTGTCCCTACCCAAGGAGAGAAGAAATAAAAATTACCACAGTATGGCATGTATTTGTAGGCTGTGAGGAAAGAACTCACACAGGGTGTTGGATCTCTTCTCTGACACCCCAAGACAGCAATGTATCTCACTGTGTCTTAGTACAGTCTCGTCAGGGTAACCCACTCATCTAAGCACTGGTAGTTATCGATTAGCAAAGACATAGGCTCTGAACTTCCTGTTTGTTTATTTAGCAGGAGTGGGGCTTGAACCCAAGACCTTCACAGTGATCTATACCCCCAGCCCTTTTTCTTTCTCCTTTAGAGACAAAGTCTCACCAGGTTGCCCAAGCTGGGCTTGAATTTGTGATCCTTCCACCTCAGCCACTGCATCTAGCTGTGTCCCCATTTTAGAATTTGAGAAGCTGAGCTGGGAGAAGTTAAGAACTCAGAGTGACAGAGAGCAGGCAGGAAACCAAACCCCGAAATTCACCTTCCTCCTGGCTGTCTCATCCTACCACCCCAGTCTCAGGAAGTTGAGGGTACTGTACAGAACAATTGTTAAAATAGTGTCAAATCACTTCATTTTAAGGTTTTTGTTTAAGGTTTTATTTAAAGACCTCAGGTTTCCAGTTTTAATTGGTCTTACAATGCAGAAATGTCTCTCCAGACTTACGAGGTCTAATCATAAAAATTGTACTACAAATTTCTTGAATTTTTTTATGTAAAATGCACACATTCATTAATTCAAGCTTTATGAGTACATTGTAAAATATTTCTAGTCAGTATGCAAAGAATTATACAAATGAAAGTTAAAGATGAGATGAATTACTACTTGACTCTTTAGACCATGTAGTTCCCTAATGTAAATCATGAAAGAAAAGCAGCAACATTAAAGATCCATGGCCAGGTGATGACTACTTAAAAATTCAGTCATGGTAGATACTTGGTCAAAGTATGGGACAATGTGGGTTACCTAAATGGAAGATTCTAAGCCACCATCAATAATGTTAAGCCGTTTTTTAACAGTGAATTTTTTTGGTACACATTTGACGTACATAATGATCACATGCCTCGTAAGAAATTTGTCCTTACACGTAATATAACTTAATTTTTTCCCCATTCCCCTCAATGAAAGTTTCTGTGGCACCATCAGAAATGTTAAAGTTTTTTTCAAAAATGAATTTTCTTTTTTTTGTTTTAAAGTGAGTAAGATTAAACAGAACAACAGATCATAAGGAAACAACTTCAAGAAACATGGATTTCAAAGCAAGTCCACTGGAGATCTTCACTGTCTGTCATATTGTCTCTCGTTTTCTTCCTCATAGTTGTCCCCATCTTCACACACAGTGAATATATACTGAACATTATAGAACTAATCTAATCATAACAGGATGATGAAGGCTTTTAGGTCTGCAAGACCTGACGTTGGGGAAGTCAATAATGACCGCCATAAGGTCTCATTCTCTTCCAAGTAGCTGTCCATATCGTTATGTAGGCTGAAATTGAACATAAGAGACTAGACAATCGCTCTGAACAGTGAATGATAGTATTGCTAGCTTTTATATTATAATGCTACAGAAATAGCATGGGGTATCTTAGTGTCTCTTCAGAGTATCTCTTCATTACATCATGTACTATATAATCTGCTCCTGTAAACTGTTTAGAAATTATCCACATGTGTGAATCTCTACATGGATATCTATCCTTTCTATATTATAAGGAAAAACAGATCAAAACAAGCCAACAAAACAAATTCCTAGAAAAACATGAAATGAAAAAGACCAATATTAGGTGATCTACAGTAGTTACTATGCTTTCTCTTGTTATTTTTAATAGAATTATCTACATTGTCAGACAATACAATTGAACATAGCCTTACATAGCAATTTTAATAAAAACACAACATTGGAGACATTATAGGACTTCAAAACCAGTTAATAATCAAACCAGAATGGGTATCTTATTACATCTTCAGAGTAGTTACCTCTACTCTTAGACTTGATATTGTCAAGCATATCAAATTCAAATAAAATCAGTCAAGACAAAACAGCAGTCTAACAAACCAGCTTCTGATAAGATCAGTCATAGTAAAAACAATGTAAGTAACACAGGGCCTTCGTTTAAGTTAATAGGCAATTAAGGATAGTTATAATATAGCGTACTATTTTTGGGATAGCTGTCTGTGCCCTCAAATCTAGTATGAGTAGACGGACTGGAACAGAATAAAATCAAACTAAACAGTGATAAGACCAATGTGGCTTTTAAAGCCTGATACACTATTAACAATGTCCTCTGCCTTCCTTTTTTAGGCAGTTCCTCAACTTTCGCTTTCTCGGTGCTTTGTATATTTTGGGTCCCACTAGTTCCTTTAGTTTTTAGATTAGGGGAGCAACCCATTATTTATCTGGCGCTGAACCTTTTTACCCCTGAGCTTGATCTTGAGCTGTATTCCTTTATTTACTAAAGCCACAAGATTTTCCTTCCTCCTAGCTGAGTAGTTCTCCACTGCACAAAAGTGTCATGACTTTCCAGCCTATCTGCAGCTGCTGGACGAGCTGTCCCTGTTTCTCTCTGGTTCCCTGTCACATAGAGCATCGTTTTCTCATCTTTGACTCTCAGTTTATTAAGCCTCTTTCAGGTTGAATATATTTCCTATTCAGAGCATCTCAATGGATCCTATCTCCTGATCTACTTTGCCTGTGTTTCTTTTTGTTAACGTACAAGGCTACCTATATTAGAGATTATAACCCACCTTCTCTGCCTCATCTCTGCTATTCTATTTTTCTGCTATTATTTGTCTACTTTACTCCTTCATTCCACTGTCTGCCCCGTTCATTGAGGCCTCTCTGCCACTGTTGGTGGCATCCTGGTATTTTTTTCTCTCTCTGTCTAGAATGTCCTTCAGTATTTTTTATAGAGTTGGATTGGTGGCCATGAACTCCCACAGTTCCTCCTTGTCTTGGAAACATCTTGTTTCTCCATTAATTTTGAGAGAGAGTTTTTCAGGGTACATCAATCTGGGTTGGAGGTTATTTTCTTTTAGGGCTTGAACTACTTCCTCCCAGGTTCTTCTTGATTTGGTAGTTTGTGTTGAGAAGTCTGTTATTTTGATGAATTTTCCTTTATAGGTGATCTGCTTCTTTTCTCTGACCACTTTTAATATTCTGTTCTTGCAGATTTCTGGGATCTTAATTATTATATGACTGGGTGTAGATCTGTTTTGGTTGTGGTTGGTTGGAGTTCTGTGTGCCTCATTTATTTGGATATCATTTCTTTTTCCTATGCTTGGGAAGTTTTCCTTAATTATTTCTGTGAATAGCCTT